AGAGTGTTGGTGTTGAACTGCCCAGAGTACTGGACTTTTCTTTAAAATCTACCCTTCAGAATGATCAGTGTCATCTCTGCTTAGTTAGGGGGTTACGTAGCTTTAGTCACTGGTCTTGTAACATCATACACCACTCCATGCTGGAGTTCAGTGTCTGATACTTAGCTTAAAAATCTCTGTGATTTTTAATCTGAAAAATGCTTCTCTAGACAACTGTGGATGTAAGGTTATGCTGAGCAAGTAAAGTAGAGAGGGTTTCTTATGTAATGAGCAGAACGGGGTATTGGTCTCAGTAGTAAAGTTGATAAGCATGTAATATGGAACAAAAATAATTCAAGATTTTGTTACTGAGTGTTGATTCCAGCTCTAATTTAAAACAGAATATTTTGTTAAAATTTATTTGCCAAAGTAATTCAATCAATTTCAACTCAGTGTATTATAGAGCCTCAGCCCGTTATTTTCCTTTTGGGTTAGAAAAGGCATTGATTACTGTTGAAGGACAACTTTAGAGTTGAAATGTGCTTTGGAGACATAGATAATGATGAATATCTGTATTTTATATTTCATTCACCCATTTCTCCTGTGCTATGAATGTCAGTTAAAAAAGAAAGCAAAACCAATCAGAACGTGACAAAGTTCAACGAAATGCCAGAGTGAAGTCATTTCCCCACAGAAATTTTATAAGAGAAATAACTAGTCAAAACCTCCCTTTATCTCTAGGGGTAGATTTTTCTCTCTATAGCACTCCAGGCTGAATGAGATCAGTTCAGAAAAACAACATTTTCAACATTCAGGGAAAAGAAAAAAAAACAACCAAACTGTCAGCACTTCTAAACTGAATAACCAAGAGTCCTTGTTTTTGTGAACAGTCACCGAGATGAATCCCAACATAGTGGTAATCTCCGTGTTAGCCATCCTAAGTATCCTTCTGATTGGACTTCTGCTGGTGACTCTTGTTGTACTCAGGAGAAAACATCTACAAATGGCCAGGTAATTCCAGATTTATGCAAATTCCAAAAATTTCAGACAACAAACACATCATGTCAACAGTTGCAATTAAGGATGCTTGTGTATATGGGTGCTGCTTGAGATGCTAGTGAACAGGATGCCTTCAAAATAGTTGTCTTGCTGCTGTTTAGGAGTAGCATGTCTTCTCCCTCTTTCTACTTTCATTCTTGACCTAAGTTATAAGCCTCAACCTTTGTCTCATTTTGAGCTTTGCGAGATTGGGTCTATAAGTGAAATCACTTATTACAAAAGGGTTGAGTCAGGAACCTAAAGGATAATTAGGATCTGAGGCAACTGGGCATGAGCAGGACATCAAGATGCTTTGCAAGTCTTTCATATAGTTTGGAAACAGGAGATTTTCCGCATCAACAGATAAGATGATTTGTTCATCAGGTCCAGGATGCTCCATTTCAGAGGCCATGTAAGGCCTGAACCCTTAGGATGAGGAAGGATGTACCCGTGGCCCCGAGAGTCTCTCTCTAGAGCATTTGCCACATCCTGGTCTTACAGTTGTCCAAATTCTGCATTCGTATGGGCCTCCTTCCTGTGGGAACTGCAGCATGGGTAAGAACATAAGGGCTCACCTAGATCTTGTCTTTGTAGTCAGGATGCAGCCATCTCAGGTCCTGCTGTTCACCTGTGACATTAATGATCCCAACTTGTTGTGTCATATAGATGAAGGGAAATATTATCTTGAAGGAGTAAACCTTTTTTTTTTTTTTAACAGAACCTGCTGTTCCTTCAGCTATCTGCACCAGTCATTTGTAGCTGAATATTGAAATTCAATTTCCTTTTCCTGGTGGTCTTACTTGTAACAGTTCACTTTAACATGGGCTATGCTATGGCCTGAGGGAACTGTGGAAGGCCCCTCGATATGTGGTTCACCTCCTGGGTTTGGAAGTGCCCTGGAATCTTCTTCCTTTTATAATCTATGTAATATATTTTATATTAATTTACTGTTCTGTGTCAAGAAAGAAAATGATGTAATGTAAAAAAGCTTGTGTGAAGAATTCTGCAATTGGCTACTTAGCAGACACTGCATTTTATGTGTTGTGTCTTCACTATGTATTCCTTGCAAGAGATGACCCCATCACACATATTTTGCAGGCTGTCTCTTTCAGTGAACATTATGTGGTTTGCTCCTTTTACATGTAACTGGCTCTGTGAAAATCCCAGCTAAATTAATTCTCTTTCCTACTTAATTACTGTGCAGGCAGCCCAAAGCTTTTTCTTTTTCTCTTCAATGCTGCTTCTAGCCACAGAAGATAAAAACCCCAGAAGGAAATTTAAAAAGTAAATCCAGTAAGAAGCTACAAGCAATTGTTTGTTTAAGTCAAGGAATCAAAAATAGTCATCAGTTTATCGTTTGCAGCTGAAAATAATGGACTTGTGATAAACTCATTGGAATGTTGTTCAGGAAATTCAGGTTTTTTTTCCACAATTATTTTGTGAACTCAAAATTACCGTGATCCTGTCAAATGGAGAAAATTATACATTTTCTCCTTAGAGTTGGGACAGTGAATATTTCGTATAGAAAGGTAAATATCTAGCATGTGTACTGGGGTCAGCAACTAGTGCTAGTGCCAGACTATAGAAAGCCAAATCTGGACAGAACATGAAGCCTATCTGAGACCTTTATTGGCAACTTCTTCCTTGTTTCACTCTTTTTAAGCATTAGTAGGAAACCAGATCTCAAGTGGTGTTGAACATTTATTGGTTTTGGATGACTGTGTTAAGGGATTTCAGTTATGTTTATCATAGATATCTCAGATCTAGTCACAAATGTGAGTGTTCAGCACTTCGCAACTCTGAGAGTTCTCTGTTAAATCTACATTATTGCAAGCATTGTGAATCCAATAATGGTAACTTTGTACCCAATGGTCTTCCTGAAACAGGGAGTGTGGGGCTGGAACCTTTGTCAATTTTGCATCTTTAGAGAGAGATGGAAAGCTTCCCTATAATTGGTGAGTGTTTGAAGCAAAGCTTTTGATTATGTTTTTCCCCACCTCTGCTTCTTGGCAAAGATGATATTTTATCTTAAGTGCTTATTTTTTATGTCATCACTGACCCTCTTTAAGATAAAACTATGATACCTGTTATTTTAGTATTTTATTTCTTGAATTATGACTCAATACTATGTATTCTATCACCTGCTGTTCTTAGTAGGGGATGATATATACTCGTTAACCAAGTTGCATAGATGTGTTTTGGGAGGATTTTTTTTTTCTTTTCTCTTACAGGCAAGTTTCCTAAAATAACACAAGTGTAGAAACTTGATCTATAAATCCATTAGCACTTCCATAGAGATATATTTACATCCAGGAGTAAGCTTGCATGTAGATGACCAATTAGCAACTGTCTTCATGCAGTGCCATTAATTAATTTTCCTTGCATTGCAAGACAACGACAAGCCAACTCAAATACTTACTATAACTTAATGTTCATTGCTGTTGATAAACTTGAGAAAAACCCCATATTCTTGCTAGTCTAGAAAACCACCTAGAAGAGTTGCGAGCACTGATTATGGACTCCAAACCATCACTTACAGAATCAGTCGAAGAGAAGTATTTGAACAAATAAAGTGTATGGGCTCTGAGAGCTGCCTGACTGGCACCAGCATGGTCATTTTCATTCCTATTTTGATAATCAAATGAGTACTAATGACTGACCCAAGGTTTACTGTTTTGTTATTAACAATCTCTGCAAAAACCTCATATTTTAAGGCAAGTCCAAACACAGATATTTAAAAGCACACTGTCAGCCCCATTCCAGAATGTAGGAAGAACAAAATATGGACTTTGGCTTTACACCCATGATCGGCTTTGTTGACAGCCAAGAAGTTGGAAAGAAGAGTTGCTGTAGAGGGAACTGCTTCCATGACCGCATGAGACACAAAGGACAGGATTAAATGGATTGACACTGCAGCATAACAAGCCTTTTGCTAATAAGCCTGCACACTGAACTAACAAGCCCAGCAAATCTTGTCAATACCTCACTGTGCTGCTAATTAACTGGATATTAAACAAGCTTCACTTGCTTGGTTTAGCTTTAATAGCAGCCAGCTCTATGCAGTAAAAACTAATCTTTCTTTCAGCTCCTCTTACTTGGACTATATTAATGGCAAAGAAGGCAGAAGATCAAACACTCATGTTAATTAAATATCCAAGCTTGAATCAAATGATTAAACTAGCAACAGATGTTATTAAAACCATAAAATTCTTTTTTTATGGGAAGGGGAATTAATTAATAGGTTTGGATGTGAAAGCGAAGGATCATGTTGCTTGATTTAGTTTATGTGTATGTATGTGTGTGTATATATACGTGTATATATGCACATATGTATACATACATAAATAATGTTATAAAAATATAAATTGAGGAAAATATTCCTGCTTGATATCTCCATAAATACTTGGTAATTGAAGGCAGTGTGCCTTCAGTTGGGCCTGACTTCTCTGAGAGTTAGTAAAGATACCCTGTTTTGCATGCCTCTGTTGTCTAATGTCAAGACCAGATTTGCTGTCCATCCAGGCAGGCAAATGGAAAATATGGTCCTAAAGAGAGGTAGAAGGACTAAGAAACCCATTTTGCTTGGGGTCATTCCAGTGATCTAGTAAGGGAGCTATGGGCGTATCCACTGATTCCTAAGGAAAGCTCAGTTTATTGCTCGTTATTTGAGGAATCTCTGCACCTCTTTCTTTTAATTAAAATTGTTCAGTACACCTGAGCAGTAGGTGAAAGGCTATATAATTGCAGGGAAACAATATTGTATTTACTGGCCAATTATGTATTTTTTTCATATGTTGAATGAAATCAACTGTTTTGGATGTCAGCATTCCTAATCTGTGAACAATATAAGTAGGTCTGCACGAACATTAGCCTGTCATTTGATAAAGTGTGGAATTTTCTCATGATGATTTGATGATGAAAGAAGACTCAGGCTTGAATAACTCCTTCTGCCTCTGTAGGTAAGAGGAAGTCGAAACCTCACTTGGAGTTTCCCAAAGGAAAGAGGAGTATTCTGGCAACATCATCACTTCTCTTTTTTAAGCCTAATGAAAACCTCTCTGTGGCACCAGAGATCTGCTTATGGAAAGCCAAATTTCATCCTCAGTCCAGTCCCATAGAAACCCTGAAAACAGATATGCCCTAAAGCCCTGATGCTGCAACCACTATGGCATATGATTAATTAGAAAGGTCTCCTGCTTCTGGCTGACCCACACAATCCCTACCAATGCCTGGGGAAGGTGCCGTACAGAAACTGCACTGCCCATTTTCTTTTCAACAGTAAAACTCATTAATTAAAGCATAACTTGGAGTTTTCACTGTGTGGGAGTTAAATTTTCCACCACTGGTTGGAAGATTTAGATTAGAGATGATTACAGGTGATGTGACTTACTTATCAGGGAAAACACAGTATCTACTCACCTCATAAGAGCTGAAAGTACTGGAAAAGGAAATTTTACTTTGTGGTTCCTCCTCAGAACAGTTGTAGAAGTATGGTATTGCTTTAGGACAGCAGATTTTCTGATGGGAAAAAAACATGCAGAGTGTGTATTTGGCAAAAAAAGTCCTACTACTGGGGCAATTTTTGTTTAAATTTAATGAGTTTTTCACATTTACAAAGTACCTATAGCCCACTCCACCAACAGGCAAAACAGTCATGAATGCGTTTCCTGGATTAATGTGTAGCTGAATCTGGTAGACAGGCTGTAAATACAGAAGTTTAGAATGGTTTTGTACTCAGATTTCCTTTAGCCATGATGAAACTTGCTGTGAATAGTTATTCATAGAAACTATGTTTAGAACAAGTTAAAATAATGTTTGTTGAAAACCTAGGAGAGAATTTAAAAGGCTCAAAAATGGGACACTGCAAAATGGATGTTTTCTGAAATCCGACTCAATAGAGGATACTAAGAGGTACTGGAATGATCTGAATTTAAGCCTGATACAGATCTTCCTACTGATGTCCACAGGATCACTTGCAGGAGCAAACATGGGAGATTACCATAGTTGTGCATGGTAAAAACAAACTATGTCTGTCCTGAAATAGCTCAAGTCATCAGAAAATAGACTTGGCACCACTTAAGTAATAGACATAAACCTGTGGATGAAATTTTCAAATGCACTTCACTCTCTGAAAATGTGCCAGTTTATCAGTTAGCATTGATTTAGGCCTTAATCAATAACAGAAAACACATTTCTTTTCATCATATAGAATTTTATGTTGGATAGCTGAAGATCCTATATAGGGTGTCAGATTGAGGAGTAAAAATTCTATGGATGCTAATAATACTCTTATGAAGTAAGTAAGAGGAAGCCTTTATGGGTTTAGCTGATTTTTAAAATAGATTTTGTTGATCTCCTGATTTCTGTTTGTCTTACTAACTCTCCTCACTTTTTCATCTTTATGTATGTTATTTATTAATGCTCACAGGCGTAGAAGTGTATTTGCTTTCCTAACTCTGCTACCCTCATGCCTTTGGACTGATTATCTTTTGGCATTTTATATTAATCCTTGGTAAGTGATTTACTTGTTTTTCCATATGCAATGTGTAAACAATGTTAATTTCTATTACATAAAACATATGTGATACTTTTGTTTTCAAATGGGTCAAAGCTCTTGAAGATATAATTTTCTTGTACTAGAACATGGATTGGAGAGGATGTGGGTATCAAAGTATTTGCTACCCTGCTTCATCTAGTTTGCCTGTTTATGCTCCAGCCCATTTTGGTATTAAAAAGCTAATCTTATGGTAGTCATCATATTCATCTCTTTGCTCTCTTTGCAATTCTTACCACTTCATTGTAAGTCCTGGCTTGTTCTGTCCCAGTTATTCATCTCTTCATTGCTTGGCATTGCCTTCTGCTGCTGCTGCTTTTCTATTACTAAAATTGCTTGATTGTGCCCCACCTGTTTGGTGTGTGACATCAAATACCTTAGGTTTTAAAGGTGCAGTTTTGCTCTTCTGACATCAGTAAAAGTTTTGCTTTTGGAAACAACAGTTCACTGAGAATCCATACAAACTAGCAGTCCCAAAATGTAAAAATAGAGTCACTGTGTGTGTGTGTCTCTGTGTGTGTGCATTTAATAGTTTAGTTAGTAAATAATTTATAAAGGCATAGTAAATAACTGATTAGTTTTTTGAAAATACCTAACCAACAAAGCCCCACGGTCTATTTAGAACCAGAACTGCTCTATGAACCATTTAGCAAAACTAATTGACTATGATCTGAAAATGCTTAATTTATATAAAAGAAACTTTATATAAATTAAAAGTTCCTGACGGTCTTGAGTCCAAGGTATACAGATGTACAAAAATGTGTTTGGCGCCAAAGTTAAGATTTACTTTTGACCAAATGTTTTCACTGGTGTTACCATACAGCACCACAGCCCTGTTAGGTAGTCATCAAAATCTTCAGCATAGGGATTTCTGAGACTGGTTTTTCTTGGGTCACATTGGCACTGTAGAAAAACCCATCTAAATTGTCAGAAATGCAAGTGGTTTTTTGTCACTAAAGAATGGTCTATTTCTTCTCCCATGAAAATAAAAGCATGTTCACACACACACCCAGCTGAAGAGCAGATGGAAGTCTTCTATGTCTCTTCAAGGCTGTTATATTGACTTGTAAGTTGTCTGAAACTTAGCTAAGTATTGGAGCCGGACAGTGATGGAGGATCAGACAAGGAGTTTCTTATTGTGAAGGTCACACTGATCTCTCTTAACTCTCTAATGGTCCAGAAGCCCAAGCTGGCCACTGTCAATGGCACTGCTACAAAAAGAGTCATCATGTTATTTTGCCCCTTTGCCTCTTTTTGTTTAATATGTATTAATATGCATTAACTCACATTTCTGGATGTGTATCTTTCTTCATAGGTTTCTTCTTCAATTAAGCTACCTAGTTTAGTCTAGATGAACAAGTTTAAAGGAGATGAAGTTGAATGAGATGAGATTAATCCCTCTATTCATGTTTTAATCTGTAGGGTAAATATGGAAGAACAGATGAAACACCAGATAATCTTTCAAATGTCTTTGTTTCGCATACAAGTTGGTTTAAAACATTTATGAACATTCAGGAAATGATTGCAATGCTAAGAAACAAAGGCCTCTTGAGATTGTCAAAGCATAAGAAATTGTTGCTGAGAAATGGATGTCAATCATTTGTTTTATTGCCTCTTGAAGTGTTCCTTGGAGATGTGTTCTTAGAAGCATTCTCATAGACAGCACTTCGATATTTTTTTCTTTTTAAGTGAATTCCAATGTGCCCAACATTAAAAGGTTTACCACAGTCACAGAGGATAGAAAAGAAATGCATTGAACAATTTAGATTAATTAATTTTAAGTCTTCTTTGGAAAAAGTCGTTGAAGATATAGAATAAATACTACTAGAGTATGTGTATGGTACCTATAAATGTACGGATACTATACAGATAGTATCTGTATAGATAGCATGGTAGGCTGAAGAGGTTTATAATATTTGTAAAATAAAGTTTTGCAAAGTAAATCTCCACATTAGTGTAAAGCTGGTATTGCTATAGCTCTTGTTAACTCTGCAGGCAAAGCTCCACATCTAAATGGAAATGTAGCTTGACAAGATAACAAAATTACTACAGGTTGTAGCTGCTCCAAAACATGAGCATTTTGTAAAATTAATTTTGGATTTTTTTTTTAATTTCACTTCTAAACTTAGCAGGGTAGAAAAATAAAAATGGTCCACTTTTTATTATATCTTTCTGTACAGTTTCATTATTTTGAAATGAAAAGTCTTCAATTTACTAATTGAGGCTACGACCCAAGTTATCTAGAAATCATTTTAATGTCATCATGAAATTAAAAATAGCATAATTATAATATGTTTAATGAACAAATATTGTTCAAAGCCCAGGGAAAAAAAAAAGACACTACTATAATCCCTTTTGAGCAAGCAATAATCTGTTTGTGCTTTGTGGCTGGATTAACAGATGAGATCAGTGTTCTCAAACCTCTAGCCAAACTGTTCCAGGGTCCTCACTTTGTGCATTTAATCTGATTCATTGCTTAACTTGCAACAGCAAAGGAACACAGGCACCCCTCCATAAAAACCACATGGTGGTAATTAGTGTAGCACAGTTAAGTCCATGTCTTACCGGTTGTACTGCTTAACACACTCATAAACTTTCTCACATCTCTAGTGAATTATATCACTTATAAATCATGTGAAGACAGTGTATTACATAAATGGCATAATTATCTCTGGCTGTTAAATGTCACTTAAAATTATTTAAATTTTAAACTTGAGTCCCACTGAAGTCAGTAGGATATTTGCCATTGTCATCATTGATCATCATAAGCAGGTTATGAAATGGGTGAGAAATAGTATTCAGGCCCTTCCTTTTTTTCATTCACCCTCACTTGAATTTGCAAATGGTGGTCTCCTCCCTTTACTCAACAAATGCTTCTCACTCATGGTTGTTCTCTAGTGTTGCCATCCAGGTACCAAGCCCGCTAGAGCCGCAGCGGAGCAGCCCAGGGGACACCACAGTGCCCCATCCCCTGCACCAGCAACCTGGCCAGGCTCAGCCAGGCTTGGGCCCTGGGGTCTCAGTCCTAGCGCACTTGAAGCCAAAGGTGTTGTCGGGTCAGGATTTGTAGAGGATCCATTGCTTGTGTTAGGCATAGGTTTTCTCTGTCTCAAGCAGGTTGTTCTCAGAGCCACAGAAAGGAAAAGGCATCCCACTGATGTCAGTGGAAATGTTGCTGTCAGCTTAAAAATATCCAAGATATTATCACCAATCTCATCCTGAGTATGATGGTGACCAGAAAACATACATTCTTCAATCAGTACTATCTTTGAATAAAGACTATACAATAGTTTAATGACTGAAAACCACTTCTTTTTACAGGAGTAAAAATGGATTAAAGAAGAGAAAGCTGACCAAGTACGTAACTTCTTTAATTTTTAAAGTAATATTAAAACATTATCACCTTAGTCTAAACATGCATTATGGAGTACACGCTATAGTGATATTGCAGTTACAAATATAGAGAACTTCTTGGTAAATACATCCTGAGAGAGATGTCTGAAGACAGAAAACAAACAATAACTGGACAAAAGCAATTCTTCTCAACAGATAGGTTGTGGTAAAACAGCTCCTTACTGATAGAAAATTAGTCATTGGGGAAAAGATCAATTATCCAACTTAGTGATTCCAGCAGAGCTTATCCTTAGTTAAAAAAGACAAATGGTGAAAAACTGTGATGCGTTTGTTCCTAGTGATATTTCCCTCTTGACACAAGGCTCTCATTACAGTTGTTGCTACAATATTAGATCATTAATGCTAACGGGTAAACAGGAGTAATTAAGCAGCGATAAGGCAGGTTCCTTTGGGCATATTCCCTCAAAGTAAATGAAAAGATTACTGTGTATATGCTTCAGTAGCTTGTAAATTACAGTGTGATAATTAGGTGAGGGAGGCTGTTTACCTGTGTTTCATTATTCAGAGTGTTAGCCTAATTATTTCTCTGTTATGTTCAGAGGTGTGCCTGTACTAACAGACCCTCACCTGGTGAATAAGTGGGTAGAATGATGGGAGTTGCTACATCAAGGCTAATTTATACCTACTGAAGCTCTGCATGTTTTTGTATAGTTATATGCCACTTTTTTTTAGCCACCATCTCTCTGGGAGGAGAATTTGACCTCTGATGACAAATGTGTATAGTTCTCAAAGCTAGCAGAGAAAGCAGTCACAGCAGAGACATCCAAAATGCTATTTTAAGTGATTTTGTCTTGTGGACCTTCTAAAAAAAAGCAAAACCTAAATATGAAATCCATTTTTTCTGCATGAGTAAATCTCAGATAAGTTTTAAAACTGTTTCTGCCAGATGTGAAAATATCTGAAAGCAACATTTTACATGGCACAAGAGGCAACTTAAATGAAGCTACAGCTGCCCTCATGCCAGAAGCATGCTGGTGGGATGGTGCTTGGACTGGGTCTGCGATGTGGTGCTGGATCACCGCTTATTGCTGTGCCATGTATGCCTTGGGGACATACCCACCTGCAAAAGCAGTTCAGGGACAAGGGAGTCATAGGAAGGGTATCGTTCCCCTCGCAGGAGGCCATTTCCCTCACCTTAGACTAGTGGTTTCCCACAGGTAGGACAGGTCCAATACTTTAACTCAAGTCAGACCCTTATTATCCTCAGCAGCTGCAGCATTCAGCTCACCCAGAGGGGTAAGTGCCCCTCTCTCAGCCTTTCTTGTTGTGCCATTACAGTATGGTGCACCATTTGGTGGTGTTTTGATTTAAGCCCACACAGCAACTAAGTAAGCACCACGCAGTCACTTGCTCATTCCTCCTTCCCAGTGGGATGGGGAGGAGAATCACAAGAACAGAAGGTGAAAACATGGGTTGAGGTGAGGACAGGGAGGGATCACTTACCACTTATGGTCATAGGCAAAAAACCCCAGAATCGACTTGGGGAGAAAACAAAACAATTTAATTTGCTAACAGTCAAACCCAGAGTAGGACAATGAGAAAGAGAACCAAGTCTTAGAAAGGCATCTTCCCCCCACCCCTCCCTTCTTCTCAGGCTCAAAGACTTTGTTCCAAATTTCTCTACCTTCTCCCCTGCTGGCAGCGCAGCAGGCAGGGAACAGGGGTTGCGGTCAGTTCGTAGAATCATAGAATGGTTTGGGCTGGAAGGGACTTTAGAGACCATATTGTTCCAACCCCTCTAATATGGGCACGGACACCCTCCACTAGACCAGGTTGCTCAAAGCCTCATCCAGCCTGGCCTTGAACACCTCCAGGGATGGGGCATCCACAGCTTCTCTGGGCAACCTGTTCCAGTGTCTCACCACCCTCACAGTAAAGAAGTTCTTCCTTATATCTAGTCTAAATCTGCCCTCTTCCAGTTTAAATCCATTATTCCTCCTCCTGTCACTGCATGCCTTTGTAAAAAGCCCCTCCCCATCTCTCCTGTAGGCCCCCTTCAGGTACTGGAAGGCTGCTATAAGGTCCCACTGGCGCCTTCTTTTTTCCAGGCTGAACAATCCAAATTCTCTCAGCCTGTCCTCATAGGGGAGGTGCTCCAGCCCTCTGATCATTTTCGTGGCTCTCCTCTGGACCCGCTCCAACAGCTCAACATCCTTCTTGCATTGGGGGGTCCAGAACTGGAAGCAGTACTCCAGGTGGAGTACTCACATGCTGTATTTTGCCACTCCTTCCTCCTCCTCTGGAGGGCTCCTCACACTCTTCCCCTTCTCCAGCATGGGTTCCCTCCCATGGGAGACAGTCCTCCATGAACTTCTCCAACCTGAGTCCTTCCCACGGGCTGCAGTTCTCCACTAACTGCTCCGGCGTGTGTCCCTCTCACAGAGTCACGGCTTCCTTTGGGTGCAGCCACCTCTCTCCAGGTGTTGCAGGTAGAGATCTGCTCCACCATTAACCTCCATGGGCTGCAGGGCAAGCTCTGCTCCAGTTCCATGGACTACAGGGGAATGTCCTGCCTCACCACAGTCTTCACCATGGACTGCAGGGGAATCCCTGGTCCAGGATCTCCTCCCTCTCCTTTCTTCACTGACCTTCGTGTCTTCAGAGTGGTCTCCCTCACATCTCACCACAGGTTCTTTCAGTGGCTCCTGAAAAGCTCACAGCTTTTGTGAGGAGGCTGCGGTGGATGGATTGGCCAGGGCAGGGCTGCAGTGGAGGCTGGGCAGGCTGGGCCCTGCTGCAAGCCAGGACTACCTCTCCCCCACCCCACGCCATGCACTGCGTGCCTGTTAAATATGTTATTCACTGAGGCGCTGACTGGATCAGCCTTGGCCAGAGATGCATCCAGCTTGGAGCTGGGGAAGTTTCCAGCAGCTTCTCACAGAGGCCATCTCTGTAGCCCCTCCCCTGCTACCAAAACCCCACCACACAAAACCAAAACAGGTGGCATTGAACCACAAGATTTTTTTTCCCCTCTTTGTTGTTGCTTTCCAGCATTAACAGTGGCAAATACATACTAATGACTTGATAGTCTACTGGGGGAAAGTAGAAATAAAATGTGGTAAAAAAGTTTGGTTTTTTTCTTAATTTTCTGTGTGTTTTTCTTTCAAAGCCCTGTCCAGTTGGATGATTTTGATGGCTACATCAAGGACATGGCCAAAGATTCAGATTACAAATTTTCTCTGCAATTTGAGGTAAATCTGTGGCGACTCTGTCCCCTCCTAGCTGGCATGCCTAGATCAGCTTTTTCACCCGATGTTGGGTTTGTGTGGCATGTTCCTCTGCTCTGTGTTGTTTGATGTGTGCTGTTGCTGGGTGGGTCAGCTTCACTTCCAGCTCTGCAGAATTTAAAAGCAAGCCTTGGTGTTGCTAAAGACTGCATTTAGTAAGCTAATTTGAGTGGCTCATCACATTCAATTCAATAGTTGTCAGACTGACACACTTCCTTTAAGCTTAGGACAGGCTGCTGGCAGCCTGAATTCAATTCAGGATTTTAATGTCTTTATTTATTTAATGCCCTTAATTTGAGGGACAGCACTGGAATCAGAAGGTAACATCAGAAATCTAAGAGCATAGAGGTCTCTCAAAGAGCAGCTCAGGTACATTCTCTTAATTACCCAGAATTTAAGGTCAGTTTAGTATTATAAAACTTAAAAAGGTTTATCTTAGAGTTAGCTCCCAAAGATTTAAACGTGGAAGGGGGGTGAGGAGGACTGTCAGGGTGTTACCACCATTCTGGGTGGCTGACGTGTTCCCTTCCTGCCAGTGAAAAGTCCTCTGATGCATCATATATTAGATGTAACTACTGAAGGTAATGACTAGAAAGATTTTCCAAGCATTCCCCAGGATCAAGATCAAAAGCCACTTGAGGACTTGAAGAAAGCCCTTTAAGTGCAGTGAATGACCACCACGCCATAACAGAATAATTTATTAATCCTCTGTTTCGATGCTGTTTTGGCTAATCAAGTGCAGGTGGAGAAGAGCAGTCCACAGTCACAGCCCTGGAGGGCAGCTGTGCATTGGCAGCATCAGCAGGAGAGATCACATCATTGCTCTGTAGCTGTTTCAAGCCAAACTCAGAGGCATCAGAACAGGGAAGTCAGTGTAATTCTGATGTCAGTTTATATTGATTTATGACCATTTTCAGTCTGGTACCTGCCACAAGTAATCACTTCACAAAGAATTGTTTTTTGAGTGTTTGTTAGTTTGATCTTGGCATTTTTCTTTCTGTTACTTGTAGGAGCTAAAACTGATTGGGCTTGACATACCCCACTTTGCTGCTGATCTTCCTATGAATCGCTGTAAAAACCGCTACACAAATATCCTGCCATGTAAGTACAATACATACAGGCTCCTGCTAAAGTCTCTTGACAGAGAAGAGTTTTAATAAGAGAATTGGAGAATCAGGACAGATTTTCTGACTGATAAAAGCCTAGTCTGAAACCTGTCCTTAGAGAGAACCAGGCAATAGATGTTTTTTGTTAGCTGTGAAGAGATGTAGCTTTCTGGGGATGTTCTTCAAGACTGGAGTTTGGAGGTGAGAAACACAAGGTCGTTTCTACTACTGAGTAGTGTTACTACGTTTTTCTTGCAATTTTCTTGAAACCTAAGGGAGCCCAAAGGGATGGCAGTTGGAGGGTATATTTTGCAGAACAGTAATGATGGTGTATCCCTGTAGTGTTTACCAAAGCAAGTATTTCTCTCTGTTGGTAAATATGAGCATTCTCTCACTTTTTAATAGATTTTTTCCATTTTTATTTTTATAGGATTAATTTTAATTTTGCCTAGTTGGAGATGAGTGCTACTTTTGAGAACCAAATGACTTTTTTTTTTTTTCCATTTACAGATGATTTTAGTCGTGTCCGGTTAGTTTCAATGAATGAAGAAGAGGGATCTGACTACATTAATGCTAACTATATTCCTGTGAGTACAGAGACTTGGTCGGTGTAAAGAACAATCCCCTGCACAGCAGTTGGAGTGTGTCACCTGTAAATGGCACAGTATCTCCCAGAAGCTCAATCACGTTCTGAGCATCTCCTTCAGCTTTCAGAATTTCACCTGCAGGAAACTATAATTTTCACCAGCCATTAAAAAAAAAAAAAAAAAAAAGAGTGTGGGGGATTTTTGGCAAATTTTACCCTGGGTGAGCTGTGCGTGAATCTTTGTGAAACCTAGATTAGACTGGTAGAGTAATGGGGAGGAAATGCTAAGTGATCCAGTGGCTTTCTAAGACATCTAGGAAAAACATAAGAAACTTTAAAGAAATATTTCCAGGTTTCTACAGCACATGAAAAAAGGATTAACCCAGAGACTCCACAACTGCCAAAATGCACACAGCCCAGATGGTGTGTGGAGGGAGCTTCTGCTTTTCTGCCTGATCTCTGGTGTTCCCAGTGTGCCTCCCTCTGCCTGGCATAGAGCAGCCCTTTACCAGGCACTGGTGCCCAGAGTTTTAGGATAATTAAAGTATACACAGAGCTGCAGTCAAGCAGTTTGACACTGGGGGTTTGCTGGAACCTCATCAGCTCTTTCCACTCTCGCCTGAGCTTATGCAGTCACTTAGGCTTATCCCTGCCACAAGGGTTTGCCCCTCTGTTATCCCCCTCGCTGTGGCTCAGTGTAAGCTGTGTTAGGGAGAGCAACGTCCACTGGGTCACTCTGCATGGACAGGAGGCAGGACCCTACAGCATCTGTTTAGAAAAAGACCTTCCATTTGCCTCATCAGCTCTTTCCACTCTCGCCTGAGCTTATGCAGTCACTTAGGCTTATCCCTGCCACAAGGGTTTGCCCCTCTGTTATCCCCCTCGCTGTGGCTCAGTGTAAGCTGTGTTAGGGAGAGCAACGTCCACTGGGTCACTCTGCATGGACAGGAGGCAGGACCCTACAGCATCTGTTTAGAAAAAGACCTTCCATTTGTGCACACCTACTGTGAACAGAACCTAGAGCTGGCCCTAGCTGTGCTGGAGAGATCCGAGTCAGCATTAGGGAAAAGGGAGGAGCTCTCAGAAGAGTTGATGAAACCACTTCTTTGTCACTGTGGTATTGCCCATGCATGTACTGCTGAGCACGTGCTGTAGTTTTACACAACACTAATCACTCGCCCTCCCCCCTCCCAGGGATGGAGGAGAGAATTGAAGGGGTGAAGGGAAAAGAGACTTGTGAGTTAAGAACAATTTAATAACTAAACTACAATAATATTGGAACAATAATAATGATTATAATAATAGTTATATATACAAATATACAAATGCGTGATACACAGTCAGACTGCTCACCATCCGATGACCAAGGCTCAGCCCGTTCCTGGCTAACAATCCCACAGTGGGCAGAGTCCCAAAACTGCAATCCTGGAAAAGAGATAAGAGCCCGAGTGTCTGAGACCGAGATGACCCTGAGAGAAGGGCAAGCTGGAGGGAGACAACCTGGAGCAAGAAAAAGTACTTCTGGACAGAGTCTTGTCTATATACTGGGCATGACGTGCATGATATGGAATCGAGTATTTGCCCACTTGTGTCTCAATCCTTAACCTAAGATCGAATCCTATGGCCCCTCCCAGCTTCTCCTGCCCCTGCAGACGCTGGCACAGCAGAGGAGCTGAAAAGTCCTTGTCTGTCCTGGCAGCAACTCTAAGCATCAGTATGTTATCAGCCTTCTTCTCAGCACAAATCCAAAGCATAGCCTCACACTAGCTACTGTGAAGGAAGTGAACTCTGTCTCAGCTGAAACCAGGACAGCATGTTGCCTGCACTTAGTTTCTATGTGTTGAGAGCATGCAGCTCAACACCCAAGCTGCAAGTGCCTGAGCTCGCAGTGAATCAAAAGAGAAAAATGTTCCAACATTCAAAAGCATCATTCTCAAATCAGGAAACTTCTGTGACATGGGATTATGGATAACAGGATTTTATGTAGCAGTGCTTTTTGGATTTCTCAGTTCTGCCATTTATCGTTTACATCTATTTAGTTTTACTTGTAGCATAATGCTGACCATAGAAACTGGGACAGACGTGTCATCCTAATGCTTGGCTTTTCCTGACAATTGTTTCTCCACTGAGTACCTTCCTCCAAACACAGGTACTGGTGGTGATCTGTGTCTCTGGTAATAGAGATTTGACACTTAGGTCAGACAAAGCCCATGCAGACAAACAAACAGCAAATTCAGTGTAGTGCAAAAACTCAGATTGAGCTCACTTCTAGAGATGTCTGGAGGAAGCCATTTATGAAAAGTCCTCACGAATCACAAATATTTTTACAATCTGCATACAGTGGTGGCACAGAAATTGCCTGATTTACATGGGAGCATGCTGTGTGTTGGATGTGTCTTTTGCTCTTGTTCGGACTGTCAAATAACTTTCCAAATGCAGTTTTGGTGTTAAAATCTCAGCAAATATGGTTAGAGAAGATGCCAAAATGGCTTTTCTGTGGATCTTTTATTATCGCCTTTATAATGGTCTTTTGGTTGTGGAGAGGGGAAGAAGTCTTTCCAACTAAAAGCATGTTGATAGGAATAGTAGAAGGAATACATGGATATAAAGCATATGAGTGTCAATAAAACATAGTAAGGGTGTTAAAGGTGCTGACTCAGCATGTTCTCAATCACTTTAAGCAGAATTCTAATTCATGTTTTGCTACTTTAAGTCCATATGACATAAACACATGCACATAATCCTACTTATTGCTACCTTCCATTTACATCAGTGACTGAAAATCACCACAGGCACTGCTTGGAATGAGCAGGCTAAATGTCTGTAATTGTTTTTATGTCTATAACTAAATAAACCCTTAAGTTATGAAATCTGGAAGAAGCTGAAACTTTGATTTAGGATTCTCATTACTTGTTTTTTTTTAACATTGCCTTTCCTGCTCTCAGAGCAAAGGATTCGTATAGTAATAGCTTTCATTCTGGATTGCTTGCACCCTGGGAGCATCAAAAACTGGCAAAAGTTGTAGTCTCCAAATAAATAGAGTTTATTTATATTAAATGGTTTATTAAATAAATAGTTTATTTATATTAGAAAACACTTCAAAAAGTACAAACTGAACTTGAACAAGCTAAAAAACACATATACCAAAGAAAAAATTGTCTTCTGAAGCATTAATTATGTTGGTAAAGAGCCTCTGTCTCTTTGTTTCTTAGGGTTATAATTCACCCCAGGAATACATTGCAACCCAAGGACCACTGCCAGAAACTAGGAATGATTTTTGGAAGATGGTTCTCCAGCAAAAATCTCAAATTATTGTTATGCTTACTCAATGTAATGAGAAAAGAAGGGTATGTAACAAAATCTTGCACATAGTATAAAAGTAACTACTTTGAAAACATATTTATTTTCTGGTGGGTGAATTTCTTCATTTTCTGATCATGAGGCAGCATTGTGATTGGACCTGGAATGGCACTTCATTCACTTATGGAAGGCATTTGAGGATGTTTAAGGGACTGAAGCATCTTTCACACGAGGAGAGGCTGAGGGAGCTGGGATTCTTGAGCCTGGAAAAGAGAAGGCTCAGGAGAATCTCATCACTGTGTATAAATATGTGATGGGAGGGGACGAAGACAAGGGACCCCTCAGTGATGCCCAGTGACAGGACAGGAGGCAGTGGGCACAAATTAAAACACATTAAATTCCATCTGAACATCAGGAAACACACTGTTACTGAGAGGGTGACTAAGCACTGGCACAGGTTGGCCAGAGAGGTTGTGGAGTCTCCACCCTTGAAGATATTCAAAAGCCATCTGGACATGGTCCTGAGCAGGCTGCCCTAGGTGTCCCTGCTTGAGCAGGGGTGTTTGACAAGATGACCTCCAGAGGTTCCTTCCA